CGTAGAGAGACAGATGCTTTACAGAAGGCTATCACTTCATTGGCTAAATTCCAACGAACTGTTCAATAGCTAACAGAAACACAGCCTAAAAAGAAGGGAAATCCCATATTCCACCTCAGAGACTTAGTAATGGTAAAGCCTCTCTCATCATCTCTTTCCCTAGGACTAACATGGGAAGGACCATATATTGTGAACCTGTCAACTCCATCAGTTGTCAAGGCAGCAGGTCCAGACTCTTAAATATACCACATCTGACCCAAGCCCTGGGGAAAAAAAAAAAAAAAAAAAAACATGCTGAATGAGAGAAATCATCTGAATACTCCTGTGAACCCATAGAAGACTTAAGATAGAAGACTTATTCAAGAAAAAATGAATTCCTTCATCTAAAAGTGTTACTCATTCCTTTTACTAATCATTTCACTGCTTACAGGAGAATGCAGTTCCTTTTTAATGTGAGCACAGGAATACGCAAAGTCATGACAAGAAACATTAGGCTGGATAAATGGCCTGCTCCCTTTGTCCCCTACATCAGGACTTCCCTGGTAGGTACCCCCACTTCAAGGAGATGATCGGAATAAACTACAAGGCTACACTGATGAGGTACACAGAAGTTCAGTGGTTCATAGTTTAGCCCACTGTTACAAGGTAGCTGAGTGGCCTATAAAATATACCCTAATGATCCTGGACATAATAGAATTTTTCTAACAATGCCACTGAAGCATCTTTAAAGACACTAATAAGATCCATATAAATTAAAAGTAAAGGTCTTATCATGAGGGCCAACAAACATAGATAGGACATTGTAGTAGAAAGGCCTCTTCATATTGGGAACAGAAAAATCACTACTCGCATTGGCCTACTAAATCTTCCTATCTTCACTGGCAACTAAATCTTGGGATGTATACCTGGTAAAAAAATGTGTACATACAATAACTTTACAAGCTGAAGACTGGTCAATAAAAATGACTTAATTGCCCCAGAATTAGATATGAGGCCTTCCATGGCATTCATTGATCCTGTGGAACCAATTGTAGTCCCTGGCTACCCCTGGATAGATGGGAAGATGTACACTGGAATTTGTATGGTTACAAGGTAGAAGTGTCAAAAGTATTGACAAATCTGTAGCCATACTCCACCTACAACACCGATGGTCTATAAGTGTGTTTCACCAGTTTGACCAATGGCATCTGTCTTTATCCCTTCCCTGCGATTAGAAAATGTCCTGAAAACATCAGCGGATCTTAAACAACAGTGTGGCCAGTCTCTCACTCCTGAATGAAGAAGTAAAATTAATAAGAGGCCTCCAAAACTGGATGGCATTCTAACAGCAGCACAAGGAAGCACTTGTGCATTGTAAAGGCTGATGTCGTATATGCACTCCTGATCCTTCTGCTTATATCTGTATAGCTGTTCAAGATATTGGGCAACAGGTTAATTACATGTCAGATTATGAAATTCCCTGGGCCTTCTCTTATTCTCTTGTGGGGAGCTATTATTGGCTCCTCCTGGTAGAAACCTTTGTTGACTGTATTCATAATTACCCTGTTGATATTATTTGGCCCATGCATACTTAATTGTTTCTTTGGCTCCAGACTTAAAACTACATGTTTATCCAAGGCATGAATGCCTGGTGCCCATTTAGGGCCTTTAGATAGACCCGCTGTGGAGTATCTCTAACTTACAATCACAACTATGACCTTTTTCAACTGGAAGTAGTCAGAATGGTCTTTGTCCCTTGTCCTCTCATGGTAGCTAGAGCACTTCTTTGACAGGGGACAATACTATAGATAGCTAAGTTATTTGGAAATATTGTAGGCAGTCTGATAGGGTTGTGCCCTCAAAAGGTCAGTGCAGAAGACAATGGTGGCTGGAGATCATTAACTGTAGGTCAGGCTTCAAGAAAAAGAGGAACTACTTACTCACATACTTTTCCTAGGGATGAACAGCAGTGATTGATGTTCTAAATAGGCATCAATGACCCTGGAATGGAGACTAAACCAGTTTAACCCACCCCTTTCAGGAAAGTTCTTGTCTACTCATGGGCACTTCCTGCTTGACTTGCTTTCCCATTAGATCCCCATTTAATCAATATTACCCAAGTGACTATACCTGTTGTAGTCATGTTGTATGACCATAACTCTATCCCCACCTCACACCCATTCTGTGATGTCTCCATTGGATCAATGTTACCTAAGTGACTATACTTGTAGTCTTATTGATTGATTATAAGTCTGCCCCACCTTGAACTTGCCTTACCTCATGGTTTTGCTTAAGACTTAAACACACTTAAGAAGCAGAGTTGGTGGGAAAACCACTTTCTGGTCCCCTTCTATCCCTCTTAGACAGAAGCTTTCTCTCAATAACTTCTTTCCACTTTGAACCTCTGTTTTTCCTTGAATTCATTCATTGATTTTAGAGAACATAAACTCAGTGTTCAGGACATCTAGCAGGTTGGCAGTTTCTTTCCTCTTTGTCACTAGAACTTGGGAAGCTGAAGCAGGAGAGTGTAAGCTCAAAGCCACAACTGAGCAACTAAGACCTTCCCTCAAAAGAAACCAGAAGGGAAAGCCACTTTCTTGCAATAAATGTAAGACACACAGTGTAATTAGTCAGAGCTGTGTGTTTTCATCCTTGCTTTCTCCTAATCAGATTCCATACTAACCTGCTTTGAGCTCTATAGCTTAGAGGCCTTTCCAGTTTACTTCCCACCCACTCCTTGCCATAGCTTCATCTCTGTCCTTACAACTCAGTTTTTCATGACTCCCTGAGAAATTCCATTGTCCCACTCAAATGTCATTTCCTCTCAGAGCCTTACCGCAGTGCTCTCAGGAAGATCTGAGTGCTACTTCCTCAAAAGCGCCACAGTATCATTTGTACCCAAATGACAGCAGTATTGATCATCTCAATATATTCAAGTTGTCTGTTTTCTTGTCTGCTGCCCCAATCACCCCGCCAGCCAGTATAGAAACTATGCCTTATTCATCAGAACCTACACTACATACATAACGCAGACCTGATGTATAGAAATTCTGAGTTACATTGTGGGTATAAATTAATCAATAAATGAATTTATTATTTGGAACAATGAGTTCTGTAAACTCATGTAGCAATATTTTTCAGGGAGTTTTCAGTGAACCTCTTTAGTCGCAAACAAGAAATTTCATAGTTAAAAATTTCAAGCACTCTTATTCCCAACAATGGAATTGTTTAGAAAGGATGAAATTGCACTATATTTCTTATCTTTTAGCTGCTATTATTATAATCATTTTCTACGCCATCCATAGAACTAGAGCTTGCTATTTATTATCTCATTTAATCCTCAAAATAACCTTATCAGGTATAATTATTCCCACTTTCAAATGGGCTAGTTGAGCCCTAAATGGATAGCATTTTCTCTAAAACACAAGGTTAGTAAACAGCAGATAGAACTGTTATTTGAACCCTAATCAATCTCCCCTGAGAACCTGATGTTGTCCACTTGGTTTGGGGATCAAGCCTGGTATGTGATGAACTAGAGTCATAATCTACTTTTATTTATTCATTGATTACTTCTAATTTAATTTAAATCTGTTTTAATTTTCTCTTAATTTTATTTTTTTAATTTTTATTCATACATGTTTGCCATATGGAAGGATTATAGTTACCGTGGGGAATCAGTACATGTACATAGTACACTGTAATTGTTTTTTCTCTTTTTTTTCTTCATCTCCTACCATTTCTCTGCCTCCCTGCTCCTTCCACTGGTCCCCTTTCTACTTGTAAGTGTTATATTTTCATTATTTTTTTTCCTTCAATTCTTTTTTTCTCACCCCCTTTCCCTCGCCTCTCCACTTTCTCCTCGCCCTGTATCTCTTGCTCCCCATCCATTTGGAAAAAATCTGCCTACATAGAAACTTTTGCATAGATATTTTCACAATTCCACTTCACAGATACCTCATTGTCATTCTAACATTTATTATCAATACAAAACTCAATACATAAAAGACTCTCCCTCTAGTATTCTCAGAAATGCATAACAACTAGAAAACTGAGAGACAGAGAAGTCACATAACTCAAGTCACATAACTCATCTGAAGTCACATAGCTAATAAGAATAAAACCCAAGCCATCTGACTGTAGATGCTGGATTCAATCCCCAATGTATATGAGAATTTTTTTTTTTTTTTTTTTTAAGTTTTCATTAACAGAATCTCACTGGGCAGCCCCAGTTGGCCTCCTGATTCTCCTGCCTCAAGCCTCTTGAGTGTTGGGATTACAGATATGCACCACTATGGCCACCACACATGTGATCACATCAGGATGTAGAAATAAACATTAATGTTTTCTGAGTTTTTGTATCATATGTATGCACATACTGCACTGAATGCTTTGCCTAGTTTCTTGGTTACTTTTCTCTTATTATTGAGACAAAATACCCAATCCCCAAAATTAGGGAAGGAAACATTTATTTAGCTTACAGTTTTTGGAAGTTTCAGTCCATACTCAGCAGGATCCAAGGCAGGGTAGTGTGGCTAGGTGGCAACCATTCACGGCAGCCACAAATGACAAGAGCAAAAAAGACAAAAAAAAGAGGAAAAGCATGCCTCCTTCCCTCCCTTATATTGTATGCCAGCTACCTGCCTCTGGGCAGGTGCAGCACTTACACCACCAATCCCAGCACTAGACAATGAACCAATCACAAAACACTAGTTTCAGCCACCTCTGTGACTGCATGAGGCTTGGGGGAGGGGTGATCCAAGCATAAACCATAACATCCAAATCCCTTACTTAGTCACACTTACATGTGCGTCATTTTATAGGGAAGCACTAGGTCATTGGCAGCTGAGAACATTGCCTAAGGCTCTATGATGTTGCCAGGAACATCTATTCCATCTGCAGTAATCTCGCTCAATAACACATCTGGTACTATTCTAATCTATTTCCTCTCTGTAATTAAGAAAAGATACATAGACAGATTTACTCCCCCCGCAAAAAAAATTGGAAGGCAGAAAATGGATTACCTGATAAGGCCCAATTCAGTTCTATTCAAGTCAACCATTTTCAAGACCACCATTTCCCTCTCTGTGTTTGAAGAATACCTGGTCAGCAAAGTAAACAAGCAAAAAAACCATATTCAGGTCTGTGTCAGAGATTAGCGCACATATACAGTAAACAATAAAAGCTCATACACACACATGCTCACACACCAAAACGGAAAAAAAGCATTCCTCTTGGTGAGATTTCCTGATTCCCTGAGAAGCAATAGTCCTTTAAACAACATCCAGTACCTCCTTCCTCAGCTAATGTAATAGTTTGCAATTGTGATCATGTTAGGGTACCTAGGCCAAGTGAGTAAGGCTGAAATATATTTTATACATCATGTTAGAAAGCACATATGTATTTCTTACAAAATGGCGTTGCTTTTGATACCTCTGCTCATACAAATTTTAATAAACTATTTAAAAAGAGCAAGAGGCTGAGCTTGGCTATAATCCCAGCTACTTGAGAAATTGTGCAGGAAGGCCATGGGGTCAATGTCAGCCTGGGCAACTCATTGTGATCCTGTCTCAAAATGATTTAAAGAAAGATTTGGAGACAAAGCTCAGGGTGAGGCCCTGAGCATGTGCAAGCCCCTGGATTAAATCCCCAATACCACAATTTTTAAAAAGGGAAAAATAAAGAAAGAAGAACAAGGAATATGCAAAAACAAAATCATTCAAGATCTGTAATTTAAATGATTTTATGGCCTTTCAAGAAAAATCAGATATTTCCTGAAAACCAATGCCTCTCAAAGCTATTGAAAAATGTGCAGACAAATGTCAAATGTCAAACTGAAATTATTATTGTACATTGCCACAGTACAAGTTCTGTCACACCTGCTTCAGTTTTAAAAAAAATTACATTAGTTTTATTTCTTGGTTTTACCTTCAAGTTCTTTATTCTTTTATCTTTTCTCTCTTGCCCCGTTATTGTGGACTAAGATAATTTCTTCTGGGTTTTCCACGATAAGAGAGTTATTCACTAATTTAACAATGATGCATGTTAGGCAATTTTTATCTCCATTTTAATAGATGAAGAGGTTGAGAGCCAATGCAGTAAATTCAGATAAGTGAGAAAGCTAAGCAGAGTCTACAGTTGTGCTGGATTTCAGAGCCCAGGGTGCTTCAAATGCCCATGTTGTTTCCAACAGCCAGCACAGTGCAAAGACATGAAAACAGTGATGTTTTACTTTGCACGTCTGCTTGTCCTAGACAAATGTGTTCTCAAATTAGCATACCCACCAGATAACAAATCAATTACAACAAAATTTCAAAGAAAAAGTATTGATTTTATTCTCATAACTCCCGCCCACCTGGCTCTCTCTGACCATGGATTCAGAAGGTAAGAAGTAGGGCTTCGGTTGATCTGCACACCAGTGACATCTCCTTTATTGATGAAGATTTTGCCTGGTTTCATATTTTGGTGTGCTATGTCAATGCTCTGAAAATTAAAAAGGCAGTCATGAATTGAGACCACTGGTAGTGATAATGAGTTAGTCAATATAAACAGAAAAGCTCTGGTCAATTTCCTCCACTATAGCATAAAAGCTGAAGAATCACATTTCCCTGGAAATGGACACAACGGCCTTCAGGGTGGAACTAGAGAAGAGTTGGAAGCTCAATGCTAATTAACTGCCCAACTCACAGTGTTCAGTCTCCTCGGCTCTTAGGAGCGTTTACCATTTTCCCATCTCAAGGGGCCAAAATGGAAGACCTGACTTCCACAGCACTGAAACAAGATTTGTCATCATGCAGGGGTTCCATCTCTCCCTCTCAGCCCCTTTCATCTAAGGCAGAGTTTTTCAAAGGTATTTGATTGACAGCCACAGGGAACGTCAATTTTTCATTACAATTGAACACATACCCAATATGTACCTGAGTACCTCAGACCTGATAGCCCATCGCTCAGAAAAGAAAGCAAAAGGGAGGCAGGAAAGAGAAAGAAAGGAGCATGCTAACCCCGTGGTCACACTCAGACCCCGGAAGGGGTCTCTCTGTAAGGCACCACTCCATCCCTAGACACCCGTGAGGAATACTGAAGAACAGCCACCCCTGGTCTCCGGGCCTACCTTCATGATGCCTGAGACCATGTACTCGAAGGTTCGATTGCTGAATCCTTCGCTGGCAAGGACAAATAAAGTGTACTGGAAAAATCCTGCTGGGCCCGAGTGGGTGTGAGTGCCACTCAGGATAACATTGTCTCTTCTGTACAGGGATCCGTACTTACTCTTCAGTCTGCTTAAGACCTGCAAGGAGATGAAAGAAAGAAGTAAAAGGAATGAATGCCAGAGAAGCTCGGCACGAGAAAAGGCTCTAATGAGTTCCACTTCTGATCAGTCTTTCACATAGTTTTCTTCATTCTGCTTCAATTTAACATACATAGAAAGAAGTACAAGAAACTCAGCAATACCAATAGCTAACATGTTACAGATTTTTACTGTGTTCAAGCATGATAGGTATTTTATATGTTATGTCACTTAAAAATATTCAAGACAACTCCAAGATGTAGATATTGTGAACCATATTTTTCAGCTCAGAACACTGAAATACTGTACACAGAAGTCAAATAATTTTCCCATTGATCTAAATCTCCCTAACTATGAAGGAGACAATCCTTCAACACATAGTATTAATATCCAGGCATCTGTTCTAAGCACCAGGAATATAGCAAGATGTTTTTATTCTAACAAAGGATAAAAACAATAAGCAAGTGAATATACAAAATTATACCATAAAATAACAAATACTGGAAAAAGCATTGCTAGATAACGAAGGAGACAGTGGGTTTTAGGAAATAAAGGGGGGCTCACAGAGACTTAAATGATGAGGAAAGCCAGTTGTGCAGTATCTGGAGACAGCAGCATACTGGGTGCAGTGAACGGACAGCAAAGGCCTCTTAGGTCTTCTGCTGCCTCATCCTTCAAAACAAAGAATCCACTACTCCCTGACATAGGCTATCACACCTGTTGGTCTAAAGAAGGCATCTGCTATGCATAAGGATGCCATTGCAATCTGGAGAAAGGCCATATAGAAAGGAGTCAATTAATCAACACTAGCTAGCCCCATGGGAAGCCACCAAGAACCTACCTAAAACCTGGTGTTGTAAATGGGCTAAATAGCACTTATTTGGCTATACTTACTTTTCTCACCTCCCTTTCTGATAGCGTGGAATTTCTAAGCAGACATAAAGACCTTCCCATTGGGTCTCAGATTGCACGGCCGATACAGGAATAGATGTTAGGTGGTGCCCTGCACTGACATGGTAACACTGACAAGGTAATACATTAGACCTCTCCTCCCTCCGCCACTCCACTCCCAGTATTCTTTGTGATTCTTCAGTTTCTTCAGTGTCCCCAGCATTCCCAGTCAGAGCTGTGTTTGGTTCCTCAGAAAAGCAGGATAGTGGAGTGACAATGAGCATAAACCGAAAATGCTCAGTTTCAGTGCCAACTCTGACAGTCCCTCCCTATGTAACCTTCTATAAGTCACTCAGTCCTCTGCAGCTTGGTTCCCTGAGCTGTCTGATCACATGATATTAGAACTAAACCCATAGAGTTGTTTCAAAGTTTTAATAAGTTTATCTACACACATATAAACTACATATATATTCATTCATTTATCAAATAGTAACTGACTCCTCATGGGTACTATATGTCAGTTTGTATATTTATTCTTCCACAAATCTTACTAGCATTTAATTTCATCTCCTAGGGGCCAGGGATTTAGCTCACGGCATAAGCGCCTGCCTTGCAAGCGCATGGTCATGAGTACGATCCTTAAATGATGTAGATAAAATTGTCAGACAATGTTTAATAATCCTTTGCAATCATAGCCTCTGTTTTCTTTTCAGACTTCCAATGTCTCATAAAACTCTTCTGTATTAAATGCCCTTTGTTTAAAATACCTAGTGTGATTACTGTGTTCCTAACTAGACTCTTGTCTATAATGCTTAAGTCTTAAAGAATCTACTCATTATGTCCTCACCTCTAGTTCCAATTTATTCCAATCCATTATTGTAGAACAAAACTGTGTTCACATCACTCCACCATTCAAAAGTTTTATGATTCCCATTCATAAAGCTAAAAAAAACCTGGCATCCCAGGCCCTCCACAGTTATGACCAATAGACACTTTCCAGGTACATCTCTAACTATGTGTCCCCACTGACCTATAGATCTTCTCTGGTCCTTTAAAAGAATCCGTATCCCTCAACTAGATAGGGCTCTCATAGGGGACACTCATGTAGCTACATGTCACCTGCAGTGACAAAGCACCTGACCAAAAGCAAGTGATAAAGGCATTTTTACCCTCTAAAAAAAATAGTGTCTCTTTCAAAAATGTGGGATCTGGGATGATGCACATATTGGCTGAATCTGTTGTCTGAATTCTGGAAAGTATTGACATTCTTACAACCCAGTTACCTTATTTCTGTAATATGAGGATAACAACGAACCCCCCTCAGAGTTTTGTTGTAAGCCTACGAAGGAGAAAATTTCCTGTTTCCACAGATAGGAGAGGCTCCCCCTCACTGCAGGAATGGGGTGCTGTTGCAGTGGTGCCTTAGCCCCTCCTCACTGGCCGCTTCACCCACTGTTTATTAGGTAGGGCTGCAGCATGGCAGTGCGCGGGTGACACTCACAGTGATTGTTCTGAGCAGTGTTCCGCCCTGTCCTTTCTCACCTTCATGGATCTATGAGCATTAGCAAAACACATTCACTCCTCGTGATCTGATCCTAGACAGAAAAATGCCACTGGGTCGGGGCTTCAAAATTAATTTACGGAAGTAGAACTGAAAGTCCATGTCTGATACGTTAGCCTGCTTCCGTCTTCCCGCCCGATCCTCTTCTCCCTCTCTCTTCTCCTTTCTCTTTCTCTGATCTTTACGGGCTTCAGGCACCCAGAACTATCCAGGTGCCTTTCTGCTAACCTCAACTGTCCCCAAAAGTGGGTAAAAAAAAGTCTAAATTAGAGAAAGCCATAGAAAAATCTGGAAAATTCTATAATACAGTTTAAAGATTAAGAGAGCTGATATTTTATAATCTTCATTACAGAAGTTGTCAAATTCCTGCTGAAACAGGGAGATCACAAAAGATCCGAGTCCTTTCTCCACCAGCATATGGACGTCCTAGGGGGAGAAATGAAGCAGGGAGATAAGGGGATGCTTGGAGAATGAACCGCTAAGCCATCACACCAGTGTGGTTTGGTTCTGTTTCGTAAAGACTGGGTGTCAATTTCCCAACCTGACACAAAGACTAACAGCTACCTAAACAATCCGGTTCTGTGAAGCCTGACACTGAGGACAAGCAAGATCCTGTGGGAAGATGAGGGGATTTCTCAGAGTGACACTGAGGGGAGGGAGCATGGGAAGTCTCCTGACAGCAGTGTTACAGAGTGGACAGATGACCAGGGAAAAAAGCCGTCCCAAGGAGGGAGGCAGAAAGATTCCGTGAAGGACACGATGGCCAAGGCCAGAGCACCAGAGGCTCAAAAACAAAAAGTCCTCATCAGATTGGTGAGACATTTTTGCCCCGCAGTGAGATATTCAGACTGCTCTAAGGAATGTCTTTGTTCGGCTTAAAGTTATAATTGATAGTGCTTTCAAAAGTGTGCCCGGTACACGCACCGAGTTCCTATTGGCCCACTTCTAAGGTAAACTCCTGCTTGCAGGTTGATCTCAATTTGGCTGAGATGTACTCATTGTTGTGTCTAAAAATCCCTAAAATTGTTTTGACAACCTATTCTGCACGTCCCCCAGATTCAATAAGCCAGGGCCTTTTGCTGTCATTTGACAATAAATGCTGATTGCTGTTTTTGTTCTACAATACTTTTGCTCAGTCTTCTTTGACGCTCTGCCATGTAATTCTTTCTGGGTTGAGAGAAGAATCCACCAGCCAGGTGATAACAATACAATGTAATTAGAATAATATATTGACTCTCCCTGTGCTTGTCACCTAGTTTCCACAATTACCAAGCCATGGCCAACATGATCAATGTTATATTTCAATTCTTTGAGACTTAGAGACTTGACATTTATTGTACAATTTTTATCCCCAACAGAACGTGTGGCATTCTAGAGGTATATAAAGTAATAAAATCAATACTCAAATTAGAACACCTGAAATAATTGGCTCTAGTAACAAATGTCTCATAATTAGAAATATGCTTAAAAAATGCTTAAAGAATGCTTAAAAAACATAACAATTTATATAGAAAAATAAATTATTTTTTAAGTGTTAGGCATATTTCTTTAAGGAACTTAAAATGTGGTATTTCAATTCTTAACACTAACTCTTTTCAACTATTCTCAACTGACTGAGAACTTGATAGATTAGTAATTAATAGGCACTCACAAACTTCTAAGGTTAACTAAATGAGCAAATATATAGGAAGGTCACCTGGAACATAATAAACTTTCCCCAAAAATATCATTCACAAGGGGCTGGGGATTTAGCTCAGTGGCATAAGTGACTGCCTTGCAAGCCCGTGGTCATGAGTTCGATCCCTGGTACCAGTAAAAATACAAAATACAAAAAAAATATATATATATATATATCATTCACAGTAATGAGCCACCTGCAGAACTGAAACTAAATTTTGATCAAGATTACTTAGACGCAATGATGAAAATCATTCTTGTACAATTGCCTGCTGGACTGGCGAGATCATAATGTTAAAGGTAGTAGAAACTCACTGGTTGAGAAACCAGCAGTGCTAAATTCCAGTTGCATTTATTTACAGACTTTTCTTTAAATCATGTTGTGTCTTTCACCTCTGAATTACTTACCTCCAGCCTAAGTCGTTGGGACACCATGCCTATTTCAATACTGACAAACACCACTGGATTCGATCCATTAGGTTCCGCCATGATGACAGCACGGCTGTACAACCGCGTAAGGAGGCCTTGTGCATTCTGGCCGGCTTTGCCAAAGCCCATCTAAAGAGAACAGGAGACTCAGAGCCACTCTGTCTCACCCCCCTGATACCAACAAGCAGGCACAAACACACAAGAAAAGACTTCTTTAGAAAGACAAAGATAAAATCTACATGATCCAGTGGGTCTGGGTGAGATGATATGCATGCTTTCAAAAATATAAATGAATGAATAAATAAACCAAATAATAATAGAAACTTTAGTCTTCTTGCAGAAAAATGTAAAAGCAAAGTGTCAGACTGGCGGAACGGATTCTCTTGCATTAGTGCAGGGAGGAACTGAGGCGGCTGGAGGGATGGAATTTCAGAGTAGTGGTTAGTATACTACAGGGCTTGGGGGCCTTTCTGTTCTTTGCAATGGAAGCTCTCTCTATTTCTCTTCTTCAAGTTCCATGTTGTTGAGGAAAATCCTGAAGCTTGGACATGACCCCACATTGGTTGTTTAGTGTATGATTTCTTTTATCTGAAGAACATGCCATCTTATATTCTTTACCAAGGTCACTTCACCTTGACTTACCATATCACTATCCACTGGGTTCAGCCAAATCAGTCACATACACCTATCCCAAGCCCCTTCATTTACCACATCACAAAACCCACCCGTCTTTAGAACACCCCTCCACTTTACTTTCCTCCTTGTGAGAGTTCATTTAGGGTCCACATGCCCAGGAAACTTTCTAGAAGAGACAGTTTGGAATAGTTAGTATCTAAAGATCATTTGATACATGAAAACAAATCCGATCTGACAATGTCAAATTCTGGTTCCATAGGGAATATTGATGTAAATAAGCATTTTCACCTAGATATTTCCAATAGGCATTAGCCAAAGGGTCACATGCCAGTCGACAACATATTATCCCAATCCATAGAAATATTCTGTTTGGCTTTTCCTTGATGCTGGCCAATGCAAGATTTCCAATTTTAACTTCAGTAGGCTACATTTTTCAATTAAGAGATTTAAAGTCTCTAATCTTGAATTCAGAGATTTTCTGAGTTCTTTTAACAAAACTTTAACATAAGGAAGTACCGAGCCCACTGCTCTACTCATAGAAAGCAGTCAATTCACTTTTCAAAGGAGTTGTGGTTGTCTAAAAGCTTCCCTCTCCCCCGTAGGATAATATTCCTTGCACGAGCCAGCAACAATATCAATTTAAAAGCTAGAAGATGATGTTATATTAATCAGTAATGAATGTAGGAAGCAAAATAATAAAATTATTTGTTTCTCCTTAGGAAAATCATCATTTACCTACCAAATTTATATCTGATACTTGTCCTGTGCAGTCAGCTCGCCCAACACCAATATGGTAGCCACTAAAATTCTGAAGTAGGGGAGGTTCTGGGGTTGTTGAAAAGGCTTGGGTGGCTGTGGAACTCTGGCTCACTGCAGTGTGCTGGGTTGTTGAAAAGCCATGGTTTCCGGAATCTAAAACCGAGTAAGATACTTGAGCAACAATAACTCAGCAGGCTTAACTGTCTGCTTCAATTAAAATACATAGGCTCAGGTTCCTAAGGGGAAAAAATCTGTGAATATTCTCTTATAAGAAGATACACAGTAAAAAGCATCACATAAACACATTCGAAATGATAATTTGAACTAAAAATTTTAGTTATATCTTTTTCTTGGACTAGAGATATGTAAGAGTAACAGTTCTGGGCTTTATGAAATATCCTTGAACTTCACATCAAGAGTGTTTTGCTGTCACATGCATCCATTGCATTTACTTTCCCTGCTTCTCCGTTCCAAACAAAACAGATACCAGATTCCTGCCACACAACTTGCTAAATCTGAACTCTGGCAATTTGTTCCTTCTGTTTTCTTCATCCAGACTCCTAACTCCATTCCTTTCCATGAACTAATTTCCATGACTCTCCTTGGACCCATTTCCACCACATCTGGCTACAGCTCAACTTGCCCTAGGAGGCCACCCAGCTGTCTCGTCTCTGCTCTGGTTCTCCTTGGCCTTCTAAAACCTTTTGTTAATGCAATTAGAGCACTGTATACTAGATGACATAACTCCATTTTACTTTTATTCTTTTCATATCTATAGGTGTGTATGTATAAATCTAAATTGTATTTTAAACACACATGAATGTCAAGGAGGCACACTGACACAGAGATTAAGAGGCAAATGGTAAAACAAGTTGCCTAGGTTTGAGACTTGGCTTTAACAGTTACTAATCAAATAAATTGTTCAACCTATTTCACCCCAGTTTTCTCATTTATATAAGAACACAATATATGCAGGCTGCAGCTGCCCCGGGGGGAGAACCACCAGCATCTCCTGAGATCCACGCCATGTTGGAACGTAGGTCACTGGGAAACCAAGCAAGCAGCTCACCTCCCCGGTAAGCGGCTGTGGTATGGCAGGCTGCAGCACCCCAGGGGGAGAACCACAGTGTCTCCTGAGATCCACACCATGTTGGAACTTAGGACGCTGGGAAACAAAGCAATCAGCCTGCCTCCTTGTTAAGCAATACCTTGTTAAGCCTACCGGCGCATGGGCTTAGAATCAAACATCCCACTTCCCCTACCCCCTTTAGCAAATGGGAACCAGAGATCTGAGCATCTTTAGGAGGGTGACCATATGCAATATAGCAAATAAGGGGTATTTCCTTCTACCATCTTTTTGAAGGCAAATATTTTTACTATTGTTTTGCTTTATTCTGATTAATAGTTCTGTTCTATTCAATATTCTGTTTTGACAAGTTCTATAATGTTCTGTACTTCATTTTATTTTGCTATAGGTGATTGAAAGAACAACTTGTGAAGATAATGAGATATACTGTGATACCTATTTATTACTGTTATCCCAGTAACCTGCTGTGACATTCTGAACAAATTTCACTACACTGTCTCAATTGGCTTTGTTCTGTCTTATTCTGTTGTATTTTACTACCTTCAAAATAATAAATTTAAAAAGAACACAATATAAATACTTTCTGGGGTTGTTTTGAACAACAAATGTGCTAGTACATTTTAAACCTTAGTACAATGACCACTACATAGTTTTCATTTTCTTTACATATTTAGATATTATATATACCATATATATATGTATATATATGTATATATATATACATATATATGTATATATACATATATATGTATATATATACATATGTACATAATGTATAATGTATATACATATATATACATTATATATATATATATATATATATATATATATGTTTGTTTTAAGTATATAGTCAAGGGAATTATATGTGATTTCTGGGATTCTAAAACTTTGGAACTAAAAATGTTAGTGATCAACCTGGTCCTGACTCCTCAGGTTTACAAACAAGGAAAGTGACTTAAGCAAGATTTCATAAAGAACATGATATGAGTCAAGTGCCTAAATCAGATCCTTACACACAACCTAATGCTCTCTCCACCAAATTCTAGGTGGAGTTAAACTTATCTTATCCCAGGTCCACATTTTCTACTCAACATCAAATATTGCATGGAGAGAAGCAATATTTCTGCTTTTGCCTCCCAGCTAACAACATAGAAATGTGATACCACTAAAGCCAAACCTAGCACACAGCTAAGGGTAACTCCTTCACAACTTTGGAGTCTCAGTCTCCCCATCTGTAAAATGGCACTACAACTAAGTCCTGCCTTTATAGGAGTTTTGTGATGAGAAAATGGTACAGAATCTTTACTATAGAACTTTGACTATCATTATTCACAGATTAATGATACTTTACATAGAAGTAAAGTAAAAACTCCACCAGAAGATTTCTAGAATTAATAACCAAATTCAGTGGCATAACTGGGTACAAAGTCAATACTCAAAAATCAATAACAAACAACAAACTGAGAGAGAAATAAGGGAAACAACAAAAGAACCCAAAAAGATGAAATATTTAGGAATCAATCTAACAAAAGAAATAAAAGATCTATACATTGAAAATTATAGCACTCTGAAAAAAAAAGAAGTCAAAAAGGATATCAGAAAATGGAAAGATATCGTTTGCTCATGGATAGAAAGAACCAATATTGTCAAAATGGCTACACTCCCAACTGTTACACAGATTTAATGTAATGCCAATCAAAGATCTCACAGATCTAGAGAAAACACTCCTAGAATTCATTTGGAACCAGAAAAGACCTAGAATAGCAATGGCAATCCTGGGCAACAAAGGCAGGGCAGGAGGTATCACAGTCCTTGACTTTAAATTATGCTACAAAGTTACTGTGTTAATATTAGCATGGTACTGGCAAAAATTCCAGTGGACATCAGTAGACCAGATTAGAAGACGTAGACACATCTATAAATGCATTCAGTCTCCTTATCTTTGACAAAGGTAATGTCCACTGTTTAATGTCCACTGGAAGAAAGATAGCCTCTTTTTTTTAATGGTTTGGGGGGTTTTTTGTATTTTTGTATTTTTACTGGTACCAGGGATCAAACTCACGACCACATGCTTGCAAGGCAGGCGCGTATGCCACTGAGCTAAATCCCCAGCCCAAAACATAGCCTCTTTAATAAATGGTGCTGGAAAAACTCTCTCTCCACATGCCAAAGACTAAAATTAGGATTCATGCCTTTCACTATGCACTAAACTAAAAGACAAAATGGATCAAAGATCTAAATATTAAAAAATTTGCTAAACTATTGGAAAAGAAAGCAGATAGAAATCTTGAAGACAAAGAGGTAGGCAGAGAGTTCATCAACAAAAGACAAACTGCGTGGGAAATACTTCAAAGAATCACCAACTGGGATCTCATCTTACTAAAATTTTTTGCACATCAAAGAAATCACCAACAGAGTGAAAAGAAAACCCATAGAATGGGGGAAAAATTAGCCAACTGTCTCTCAGACAAATACTTCTATCAAGAACATATAAAGTATTGAACAAAATCAGGTTCCCCAAATTTAAAGACCTAATCCAAAAATGGGTATCTGAGATAAGCGCACACTTCTCAGGTAAAGAAATATGAAGGGCAAATAAATATATGAAAAAATGTTCAACACCATTGATCATTTGAGAAATGCAAATTAAAACAACACTGGGATTCCATCTCACTCCAGAAAAAAATGTCTATCATCAAGAAATCAACCAATAACTAATGCTGCCAGGGGCAGGTGTAGAAAAGAACCCTTCTCCACTGTTGACAGGAGTGTATACTGGTACAACACCTCTGGAAATCAGTGTGGAGATTCCTCAAAAAACTAGGATTAGCTTTCAACTCAGTTATTTCCCTTCTAGATACTTTCCCAGAAGAATTAAAAACATCATACCACACAGATATATGTGCACTCGTGTTTATAGCAGCACAATTTGTAATAACTAAATCTTGGAAACAACACAAATGCTCATCAGTGGAGGAATGGATACAAAAAGATGAGGTAATTTTATATAATGAGGTACTACTCTGCTGTAAAGAAGGATAAGCCCAAAACTTTTATAGGTAAATGGGTGCAATTAGAGACCATACTTAGAAGTGAAATAAATCAAACTCACATGTGTAAACATCATATTTTCTCCCTACTGTAAGAAACTGGAAAAGTAAATAAGGTCCAAAATCTACCACAGATATTGTGAAAAGGAAAGAAACTGCTCAAAAGGAAAGAACAACTGGGATGGATGAAAGGGGAAAAGAAAAAAGAGGGGGGAAATATATATATATATCACAGCTAAGCTAGTTATACTGCTGATTTCTTTTAGTTCACCAAAAAACTAAATAAATAAATAAAACAGTTTGTGCTTATATTCCTGGGTCAATTATGTGTGCCTATATTATGTAATCTGAACACCTACTTTGAAGATAGCAACACAGTATATTATCCATTGTTAATTTCCTACTATCTTGTTAGGAAATTATGTGCCTATTTATTGGTTTTTTTTTCTCTTTAAAATAAAAAAGAGAATCCTTACTATACTGTTCTACATAAATAAACCAGTCAAGACACAGTAACTACTACCATGAGGCCACTATAATTATTAGTAACTTCTTCAAGTCTCTCATTTTGGAAGCTAAAACGAAGTCCTAAAGATCTTTTCATTGCTACCACAGCAAGATCCTTTGCTCTATCAATTAGTGGAACAGAGAATTTCTGTTCCGCTGGAATTCAAAGCACCAGAACGTGGTAGAAAATATGCTTGGAAAACAGAAGAGGTTACAAAAGTGAAAACTAAATTTAAATATTCCATCTGTGAGCTGAGACTGTTTATACATGCCTGTAATCCCAACTACTTGGGAGGCTAAGACAGAAGGATCACATTTCAAGGGTAGCTGGGCAATTTAGCAAGAGTTTGTCTCAAAATAAAAAATAAAAAGTGCTGGAGAATTACCTCAGTGGGGCAGCTTTCCGGGGTTTGATCCTAAGCATGGAGAGCAGAAGGGGAGATTCCATCTCCTTTGTCACTTTGTCTGAAGCTACCTCTTTACTTTAGTCCAAACACACAATCCACACCTGTCTTCTCAGCACACAAGTCTGTATCCTAACGCTGAACAGAGGCTGCCTCAAAGACCCAGGGACAGTTTGACCTATAATGTAGTCTGTATAGCTTCAAAAGTTACACTTGTTTCTACTAGCACACACAAAAAGTCAGGATCTAAAACTCTCAATTTTCAACTGCTCTTGAAAATTCAGGAGGTCAAAGACTACAAGATACAGTGACAACAAGCACTTTGAGAGTGGACCCCTTCTCCAGAACTGCACCTGCTCCCACCCTGTTCTGGCTCTCCACTCTTCCTTATTTATAGAACTTGATTGCCCTTCTTAAGGATTTAGGTTTGAAGTTTGCTTCCCTAAAGCTTTTTACAGACCAAGTGTTTTGTTCTTCTTCTGCCCCCAGGAGAAAATGATACCAGCAAGGAAACTAAGAGAAAGAACAGAAACAAAAGCTGAACAAAATTTTTGGAACAAAAGCTGATATTGCTGGGCTTTGAACAATCTTGGGCTGTGCTTAGAGTGATGGCAAAGCTAAAGGCAAATATGGACATATGCTTGGCATTTGGCTATTTGAGGGCAAAAGTACACTTGATAAAAATTGCTATCAATGCAAAAAGAGTAATTAAAGTAAAGGGAGATGCCCATCCCAGACCGCTGAAGTATAGACTGAGCTATCAGCAGACACTGTTGCTTGTCTTGATATCCCCAGTAATCGAGAAATTTTCTGCAGATCTAGCAAAACTAGCTCCCAGGACCAATGCCACTTACCTTTGTTGTTTTCAATGGTCCCACTGGTGACAAACAAGAGGGTGAGAAGAGACACTGTAATGGCAGTCATCATCACAAGGAGGAAAATTAAGAGTATCTCCAGCATGGAGAAGGAACGCTTTGCCATTTCTCCTGAGATGAAGTAGAAATGAAAGAAGAAACATAAGAGAGGAAGACAAAATCATACATTAAAATGCATGTGCTTCAAACTGCCCAGGGGTAGTAGAAATTAGCTCTTTCATATTGACTCTGCCAAGCAACGGAAGGGCAGAGCACACTCACCACTAGCTCCATCAGAATAAGCACATGACTCCCATTTGAGAGACTACACATTTTGAGAAGGCTCAAGTATGGTTTCAAATCACAGCACAATGCTCCTCCTGCAACCATTACCTGCAAGTCAGCACTGGCAACTGAGGTAACATCTATTTCCTTCTCTTGACCCAAGAGCATTCTTATGATGAAGATGGCTTTTGATAGCCTAGGCCCTGCTGGAAATTCTATCAGAAATGATGACTGATACACACATCCTGCTGTGTTTAGGGGACAAGTGATTGGGGTCACCACGATAATTCATGTGCTAAGTAAAATCATCTTCTCCAGATGGAGGTTGAAACCCATAACTTTGGTCTTCGTGTTCTAATTTTCAATATATAGGAAAGGGAGTTGCCATGTCTAGTCTTAAGCCAGGTGTTACTAAAATTTCTCTTTAGTGATCAGAATTATCCCACATATTTTGCATTCCTATGTCGTATAAATGCATTTTATAGGTTCCTTTCAGTGTTTTTGAGAAAGCAGAGGATGCCTATAATAGCTAAAATCTCATGCATTACAATAAGAAGTATAACATAGTGATGAGAAACTGGATTCTGATTTCCTGCTTAAGTCCCATTTCTGCCACTTGCTGGGTCATTTTAGGAAATCCTCCTTCAATACTGAATCTCAGTTTCCCCATCTCCAAATAGAGTTAGGATGATAATTCTAGAACATGTCTCACAGATTTTCTATAAAAATAAGATGGCATGATGCAAATAACACTTCCTTTCTTCCACAGGATATAGTCAGTGTTCAGAATGCTAGTATTTATCATTAGGTTTCAAAATAACAAAGACTCGGTACCCCCCTCTGCCTTTGAAAGGGGATTATAAGAAGCTAATGCTAAGGGCTATCAGAGTCAAAGGTGACACCTTCAAAGTCCATTTTCTCAATTCATGCATTAGGATAGCTGAGCGATAATATGGACTTGAAATTCCAGTACATTTCTTCAGAATGAATGCTTTGTGGCTGTGATGCTGCTACGTCATCCTGCAAAAGGGCATCAAACAGGTGCATTTGATGCAGCCCACACAGCGTTTTGTTTTTGTTTCAATTTCACCTACATGACAAAATAAAAGCTACCTTGTGTCGTTTCTTTGTAAAGAGAGTTTATATTTGTGAGTCTGAACGTTCGTATTTTCTCTCACAATCATCCATAAAATACAGCAGCAGCTGCCATTCTGTTTAGATACAGCAAGCACTCTTCAAGCTGCTAATCACCACCCCGCCAGCCGAGACCTCTAAATAATTCCCTGGTATATGCAGGCATTTGATTTTGTAATCTTAGGCTTTGAGGTAAAACATCTATATGACAGCAAACATTCAAGAGGTGGGATAAAACGAGGTTGATCAGAGACACTGGGCATCATCTCACATTTCCTGGGTACTGGAAATTTTATTCTTCCTTTTGTCACCACCGAAATCAACCTTGCCACCAGAGAGCAAGGACAACGTCAAATCTAGGGCAAAACTAGTTCAATTGGTCTCATTCTCTCAACTTGTATCATCAGTCCCAGAAATCCCAAAGCACATCAAAAACATGCCTCTGAAAACGTCCATTACTAAAGAGACATACTAGATAGTACCTGCTTCCCCAGAAAACTTCAAAAGCATTATATCTAGTTCTTGCTCAAGGTTTTATTTTCTATGAGCCTTCTTTCAAGCCAAGATGACCAACAACTGGATGCCCCAAGAACACAGCATCAGTACTCAGATTGTGTGTGGAAACGTAGTCATGCCATAGGAGCCTGTGTATCCGATTGGTGGTGCAAATTTCTCTCCCTTACTCAGACTTGAATGATCGACCTCATATAGTTCACCACTCTGTTTAGCTGCCACGATTGCAACCAAGACATTAAAAGGTCTTTTAAAACTATTGTGGCTAACTTTACCATCACCTTTAGGGAAATAAAAATTTAGGTTAGCACAATTTGTTTCTCCCTGGTGATTAAAATGTGAATTAACATGATGCAAATGTCTTATCAGACTTCAGAATGCAAATACACCTTCAAAAGCTGAGCCCATGATTGTATCTTACGTGATTTTAGATTTCATAATGGTTCCCACTCAACCTGTCAAAACCTACAAGCTCAGGGATGAGACTAGTGACACAATAGCAAGCTATTATCATATTATCACACTGGAGTCCCTGTTTTTCAAGGTGTCAGTAAAAAAGTAACAATTTGTAAAAATAGATTTTGAAAGCTATGAAAATGAAGTGGAAGCTTTAAGACTTTCTTGAAATCTCTGAGCCCATAAGGTGACTCATGATTTCCCTTTTTCCCCTCCCTCTCTAACAAAACAATCATTCTTACCTGATTCTACTACTCAGAAGAGTTTCTGTATCCTAGTAAAGCGAATGGCTGCTCAGAACCTGGCTCCGTTTGCACATTGCTGGGCTTAGACTCTCAACACTTGGAAATCTGCTGAAGAAAGAGTTTTATAGTCAAATCCAGGAACGTTACAGTTCTCATTAGCATACCTTTGTAGGCTTGATACCAGGATAAGATTAAATTGTATTGATTTAAAAAAGGCTAACGTTCAAATTCTCCTAGGACAGCTGTTGTTGGAGACAGGAGTTGCATAAGGCTCCTAGACTGAAGGTCATTTCAAGCATTATACAACTTTTCCAGCATAACATGTTCTGTGGAAAGCCTGCAATCCAGATTCTCTCTCTCTCTCTCTCTCTCTCTCTCTCTCTCTCTCTCTCTCTCTCTCTCCTTACACACATACATAACAGCAAAATATTAAGAAGTAATTATCCAGTCATGTTAGATGTTTTGGGTTTTGGTCTTTTGCCCTCTTGGTGTTTTCTGTAATAGATATTCAATTCATCATTCTGTAATGAAGAAAATAAAACGCTTTTTCTCCTCATAGACAATGTATTCTATCAAACAGAATAAAAAACAATGGCCCACAAGAGAAAAGAAATAAGAAATGGGCCAACTCTCCTGCTTGTTTGTTTGTTTTTCCTAGTAACTCAGAAGTTTCCAGAATGCCACTTGCAGGCTGTTGCAGAGTAAGAACAGACCAGATCCCCAAATTCCAATTGAAACACTAGAGCTTTAAGAGCCTTTGGTTAGGTCATTTAGCAATGTATCTTAGATGTTTTCCTGCTCCTACAGAAGGAAATGGGTTACATCACAGTAGTAACCAATTTTTGTATTAATCATGATAGAATCCTTGGTTACAAAGAACAAATATACCTAATTTAAGGTGGGCAGTAAAGGCAAATTCATAGCAAGAAAAGCTAAGACCAAGCTCAGGAAGGCCAGAATCAGGGAAGCTCTGCAGATCTAGAGAGCAGGGGCTATGTATGGAACCATCTCTCTACAGCGTCCCCACTGAGATGGATGCTTTTCAGTTACCTTAGGTCTCTGAGTTGTTCCCTTCAGGGTTGGAATCTGACTGGTCCACCTCAGGTCATTTACTGACCCTTTCCTTTGAGGGGACTCTTAAATGAAAATCTTAACAAGAATATGCCCAAAGAGTTTTCCCCAAAAAATCAAAGTGGAACAGATACTACACAGATAAGAACTGCCCATTAGTGAAGGGTCACCAGGTTTTCTTCTCTCATTCTCCTCCTTTGCAGTGGAAGCCCCAGTTGACTCATGGTCTCTTCCAAATTCTTGAGAGTTCTCATTCCTCATAAAGGGAATCACACTATGGCCCTATCTTAGTCACTTTCTCACTGCTGCTATACAGCACTGGACATCTAGAGTTTAAAGGAGGAGAGGTTTATTTGGGTTCACAATTTTTAGAGGGTTCATTCCATAGTTGGCAGGGGTCACTCTGTATCTGCTTTTCCTAGTAACTCAGAATACAGTTACAATTCAAATACAGAGTGGCATGGCGGAATGGACTGGCACAAAAGAAATGTCATTTGAAGGCCCATACCTGGTCAATAAAGGGGCAAGAATCACGCAGATTCCAACTGTGACAGAAGAAGAAAGTTTTTGAGCCTGGGAGACCCAGTGACCACCAAAAGAGCTGGCACTGATAGCCAGATACACGACTACGCTGGGGTGGGATGAAGATGTAGTCAGGGTGAATATTTTAGGTTGTGCATGTATTATATGTTGTCTGAGGGATACTCACATAAATCTTATTAGCAAGCATAAGCTAACTGCTCTTCTCCACCTCAACATATTTACTTATATCCACATACTCTGCTTATTTTATAAATGAAGAAATAGACACAGAAAGATTAGTGGTTTATCAAAGAAAACAAGATGGTTAAAAGTGAGCATGATATGGCAATGTAGGTTGTAGGTTGTAATCCCAAGCTTCTGGTCTCTGGATAAGGCTTCTTACGTTTCATCAGATTACCACTATCTACATCACCTTGCCCTGGTGATGGCATAAGAGTATGAAAGTCCACATGTTCACTCTTATTAGCAGCTGATGGAACGAAGCCATGTCCTCTGTCTTAACACTCTGCCAGAGGAAGGAACTACCCAGTACAAAGTAAAGGCAACTAAGAAAACTGCATTCAAGCTGGAAGACTATTTCTTCCCAATCCCTGACTCACTCCTGAACCATCAATTCTTAACATTAGCATCACAAATTTTCTTATACTTATTTATTCATACTGTTATGGTTTATATCAGATGGTCCCCCAAGTCTCATGCAATCACAGATGAGGCTGAATCTAGCGTTCATGATTGGTTCATTGTCTTGCACTGGGATTGGTGGTGTGAGTGTTACACCCACCCAGGGGTGGAGCCAGCATATAGTGCAAAGGCAGAAAGAAGGCATGTCTGTCTCCCTTTTGTTCTATTCATGGTTACGCTTGGAGCTACCATGAATGGCTGCCCCTCAGTCATGCCACTGTGCCCTGAAATCAGCTAAGTATGGACTGAAATCTCCAAAAAAATGTAAGAAATAACTCTTTCCTTACTTCATGTGGGGCATCAGGTATTTTGTCTCAACAAGGAGAAAAAACTAACCAAGGCACATACCATTAACCTAAACATTTTTAAATGTTTTGATTAATATATAGTGACTATACATAATATATAGTGATTAAAGTATAATGTAATTTTCAATTGAGATATAAAATATATACTAATCAAATCAGGATAGCTAATGTTTCCACCTCTGTATCATTAGTTTGTGTTTGGCGGCTTCAAGTTCTTCCCTTCTACTTATTTACAAAACACATAATAGATTATTGTGAACCAAAATTCCCTCATTGCCATAAAATACTAGAACTTATTGACCAATCTGAGTTAGTTTTTAAAAGGTGCTAGGGAATCAATTTATTTTTCTGAAAACTAATAGCAAAAAATTGGGGAGAAATTAAGAAATAAAAAAATTACTCTTTTTGTGCTGTACACACACAACCTTCCTTTGGGAAGGTCAAATTGTTGAGAAGTGATAGTTTCTCACTTTCAAAGTATTAGAGCTAAGAAATGAGGAAGAAATGACAGACTTAGTAGAGTTATTGAAAGTCTTACTGTATCATTCAAAAATTCTTACCAGAAAGTAAAATGTAAATTGGATCAGCCTCTAGATCTTAATGCTTGTTTATAGGAAATACAAAACTAAATATGTCAGAGGGCATTGTGGGGATACAATAAGCAAAATCCAAGCTAGGAGATACTGTCAAATGAATGACCTATTTTCTTTAACAAATCCTGTGAAGAAGGAAAGAAGAGAAAGCAACAGGAAGAGAGAGAAGTGGAGACCTGAGAGAGAAGAACCAGAATAAGATGTGTGGAAGAAGGGAGAGGAGGGAGGAGGGAAGAGAAAAGCTATAGGTTAAAGGAGGGTTAAGAGACATATCAGTGATATGTTGTAAGCCCAAAACCAACATTACACAGAACCTGATTCTTCTGAAGCTATGAGGAATTAAGGAAACTCCTATACTGTCCAGTGTTTTGCCAGTATTGAGGGATTATTGTTACAGTGCTAGCATGATAAAGGTATCATGATTATACTTTTTGGAGAAGTTTTTGTCATTCAGAGGTGCATTCTAAAACACATATTTTTAAGAACAAAAAAAATTCAAAAATTGAATGAATGGGTGGATAATGAATGGATGGATGGACCGTTTGAAGAGATGACAGGACAGATGAATGAGAAATAAAATTCATTCTTTGCTATGCTGGTTAACAGGCAAAGGGTAGGTTAAAAGCACTTGGCAGATACCATGGACATACCATGGAGATTCTGGTTATGTTCCAGAACCTTGTGAGAGGAAACTGGACACCCATTTGCCTTGATTTCCTGAGGTGGTTTAGGTTCTGCTTTTCAGGTGTACTGGCATGTGGCTCTGACTCAGAACTGACCAATCGATAGAAGGGGAACGTGGGAAATCCATTTTACCAGTTTGGATCTAGGCAACATGACCCTCAGCGGCAACCTGCTACCTAATCTCAGATGCTGAGTTGGCTACCTAATCTGTAACTGTGACCAAGGTAGGCTATCCCAAAGCAGCTGAGTTCTATGATTGAACCTGGAGAGTTGTTCTGGGAGCTCATGCTCTGCCTTCTATCTTCAGCCTTCCTGTGATGCTGAGAGTTATCTCTATCTGTCCTTTAATAAAGCCTTCCCTTTTTAAGCTCCCAGAGTGGATTCTATTATCTCTAGCAAAGAACCTGTTCAAATCTCACATTCCAAGAATTGGACTCATTGTATGTCAAGCTGTCTCTGAGAATATTTTTAAACATAAAATTAACAAGCAGTCTAAAAAAATTTTTAGGTCCAAAAAAGCTTATTTTAAAGTATACAGTGTTAGGGTTATCATCTCATGGCAATGCACAGGATGGAAAAAATTTCCTTGAACCCCAAAGCAGTTCCATCATCAGTTCAGGAGAGATTCATCTTTCTGCTTATCTTAGTTTAACCTTTATCTCAAGCAGCAGGCAGTGGACGAGCAGTCCCTTCCAGTCTATTTGGAATGCATGTTTCTTATTTAAGCACGTTTACACCCATCATACGCTAAGTATGAAGCTACAACTAGGGATATGACACAGGGGTTTAGAGGGCCCAAGTTCCCAAGAGAAGTCTCAGATTCAACCACAGTGGCAGGCAGAAAAAAATAGAGCATGATAGAAGAGGACACCACCAGTTTCTCTCCCTGCCCCTGAAATTCATAAACCCCAAATTCTTATCAAAAAGTACAAGTAGATGCTGACAATCCTCTGTTTGCCAGAGCACAGGGAAAACCACATCAGAGTTTCTCTCTTCACATTTACCCTACTTCTGCCCTCAGTAAAAAGGAAAAAGATACAGAGACATTGAGGGCTTGAGAAGGACTGGGATTTGAACTTTTTTTTCTTTTTTTTTTTTTTCATTTTAAGAATATGATTTGTTTTTTGAATCTCTCTGAGCTTTGTTTTACTTTTTATAAAAACAGAACCTTTAACAAGAAACTACCTTATTTAAAGTTCTCTACTAATTTTTCGGTTTTTTTGAGACA